GCCACAGCCCCAAAAAGTGTCTGATGGGGCTGAGACCTCGGTGAAGTCGATCTAATTTGCTCGAACAACTACGCTCCATGCAGACTGGGAACCACACAACGAGCATCGCGAAATATAAAATTGTCTAAATTTTTATTTTTGAAACTGGCCTAACATAATTGGAACTAATTAAAAGTAACACAGCTAAAATTAATCCAAACGAATAGTACAATCTTCTGACTCAGCGCCGTGAACACCTCTGGTCGTACTTAATTCATTCAAAACCTAGTTTAACTTTAAGTTAATCTAAAAGAACCTAACCAAAACACACTCATCTTAATCCAATATAACAGATAAAGAATAATAAAAAACAAAAACAAAATAATTCCTTCTCAACACAATCCAAATTAAACTAAAGAACCAGAAGCTAAATTTTCGAATGTAGCTGTCTTGAAAATGTCTTGTTGTGTTAAACATACGTATGTATTCATCCCTTCAGAATACTCTGTCTTTTAATTAATACAAATACAGATACAAAATGTGTGGGCCTAGGAAACCTACAAATTAAGAGACGTAATACTGACTATTTTAGGAGGCGTGTATTTTGTGAAGGGATTACATCATACTACATGTACCTTTCAGAAGTGCAGGAGATATCGCCAAGCTTTCAGTAGTAACCGCTTCCCTTCAGTCGATAAACATTAATAATGGCTGTTTGAATTTTCTGTTATTTTACTGTTCTTTGTATTGCACGTAGATTAGACAAGATGGTTTATTCGTGCCTAGACTGTAAGCAACACTGTGGAGCATCGATTGGAGTAGGCCGTGCACGTGTATAGCAGGATGTAATCGCCATGATTATGAGTTTCTATTGAAAGTTTACAGCTACTTAAGTGGTCAAGAATTCCGCCACTGGACCCTATCTTGTAGCAACAATATTCAGTGCACATATTGAAGCTATTTTATGTGAGACCAATTTTAATATTATTCACCTATGTTTTCCTGTATCGTCTAAGTTTCGTATTTCCTTGGCGTTTTCCTTAGTATTATTAGTAGTACTAATGTCACAGTAACATTCCACTGTTACTCCAGTGCACGTAGACATTAACTTGTATTTATTTTCTTCCTTCATGCTTGATCTGTGTCAACCATAGTAGTTTCAAGTCATAATTTCAGAGTAATTAACTGAGGTCCAGATATTAACTTTATAAATGTGTATTTCGTAACTTCTTAAATAAGCATTTTACTTGAAAGTTTTGTTTTGAGTTGTTGGATTAATATTGTATTGCCTTTATATAATTGTCTGTTACAGGTTATGGGAACATCGCCCCGCGAACTGCTTTGGGGAAGGCAGTGACGATGGGGTACGCGGTGTTCGGAATCCCGCTGATGCTGATCTACTTGTCGAGTGTGGGTAGTCTTCTGTCCCGGTGTGTTCGAGGAGTATTCTCTCGCACCGTCTGCTGCTGTTTCTGCTCAAACTGCGGTTATTGCTGCTATGATGAGAAGAGAATGCAGGAGAAAGAACGTCGCATGAAGAAGAAACGTCAGCAAATTGAATTACAACAGCAGCAACTTCAGCTTCAAGAGCCGTTCTACGTTAGGTCTTCATCGTCAGTAACAGCTTTCACAACGTCGGCAAGCAGCACACACAATAATCTGCATTCCCCAGTCCGCGATGGGGAGGTGACGAAATTGCAGCAATCATCTTCCATCCTAGGAGAAACCGACTACGGTACTGACAACCTCGATAATGACAGGAAGAGCCTGTCAAAACAGTACCACAGTGCTGGCAGCATTCTGGCTCCTGTGCTTCTGTGTCTGTGTATTATGGTGTGCTACATATTCGGCGGAGCTGTTGTACTCACAAGACTAGAAGCATGGACATTCCTTGACGGCTCATATTTCTGTTTCATGAGCCTAAGCACAATTGGTTTCGGAGATTTAGTTCCTGGTGGAATGATCTCTTCAGCCAGTAGGAACTCTAGTGTTCGATCTGTAGGCAGCTATGCAAGCGGTAATGGAACAGTATGGTTCTGTTCGTTTTATATTCTAAGTGGGATGGCTTTAACAGCGATGTGTTTCAATATTCTTCACGACGAGATTGTTCATCGCCTTAAACATCACGTGAGGCATTCTCTGCTCCACTACAAGGATTCGTCATCTAAAGGTAGTAATAATATTTTAGAAGATGCAAATGGTGGTGATCCTTACTCGACATCGTCCTGACATCTCCAACACCAACGTCAACCGACGCA